ATTAACTTTTAATAAAATTTTCAGCCTAATATTAAGAGATTTAAAAAAGTTTTCTAACAAGTTACGGTAAAATCCCTTTAACTCCACGTTGTGCCCTCATGTCATAGACAAAAAAGCAAAAAACAAAAGACCGTTTCTTATTGAAAGTACTCTTATATTTCAAATATTATATATATTTTTTTTTGTAGTAAACAGTGCTATTATTTTAATTCTAGATATACCATACAATAAGTTTTAATCATTATAGGTTTTAATTAAAGTAATTTAATTTGAATATACACTAATTTGGGGAATATTTTCTTGTTTGGAACTACCTTGAAACTTCAAGCTTTCTAATGCTTCGACATTTTAAAACTTCGAGGCTAAGTTTACAATAGTGGGAAAGAATGATGCGGAAGCTAAAAGAAATGAAAATCACAAAATGGGTTTCAACTTTCAAAACTAATTTTGCATTCAAAGATTTGTTTCTTTTACAAGTTAGACCCTTATTTTAATTAGGATTTTACTTTGTTAAGGTTTCAAAGCAAATAGATCCTTTCTCAAGATATTTTTTTTGTTTATTCTAAATTTAGTATGCAAGTATCTTATTAGTTTATAAATTTATTTTTAATTGAATGTTTTTTCTTTTTTATTAGGATTTATGTCTTCTATAAAATATTACTATTATAAGATCAAACAAGTATGAAAGCTTTCAACAATATTTTGAATGAAAAATCCTTTGTTTATAATCTCATATTACGATCATAAACTTATTTATCATATTCTCTCCTAGACTTATTTATTTTTGCTTCTAAATAGAATTTAATTTACTTTATTTCTGATAGTTTTAGAAGTGAATATGAAAAACTCCTATTTTTCCTCTCTTAATTTTATTTTAAGGTTTGACTGAATGTAGACAAATTTTGAGTTATTTTCTTTTTTTTTTGGGTGAAAATAAAGAATACATAAAGAAATTAGTTACAATAGTCCCTGGGAATAACCTACCCCCTAAGCATCGGCAGACAAAAAAGTAGAAATGGCAAGAGGGGTGGGGTCACAAAATATGCAAGCTATGGGAAACATTAAAGCGATTCTCAGCAATAATACAGTAAAGAAGCATGATGCCTTTATGCCAAGTGTGATGAATACTGCACTTGGGAATGAGCTGAATGAGGTTTTATGTTTAATTGTTTGCTTAATTAGCTGATAATGGAAAAAGAAAAAGAAAAAGAAAAACAGTAAAAGAAAAAGAGCAAGGGAAAGAAAAAGGGCAAAAGAGAAAGGAGAAGCAAGAGAGTCTAATTTGACGCAATTCCCTTTTGTCACACACATACAACAGTGGTGTAAGTGGTTTTTTTGAAGTTTATAAATAGGGTGTTGCTCCTTGCTTTAATGGATACCTCATCCTCACCTGAAGCTAGCTAACTTGTTTTCAACAACTTATATTTCCCATCTCACTTGCTATTTTCTCACATATCTGCATTCTGATATATATATAGAGAGAGAGAGAGCGGATGGAGCCCAAAAACTTTCTTCATGAACATCCACTGCACTTCTCTGAAGAGTGGAGCAATGTCCACGGTAAGACTAGAGGTGTTTGCTCATCAGGATGTGGGCAGCCAATCTCAACTCAGTTCTATGCATGCATCGACTGTGAGTTTTTCCTTCATAAATCATGTTCTGAGCTACCATTGAACATCACTCACCCCTTCCATGATAAGCATCCTCTCATTCTTCGATCTGATTCACCATACGGAAGGGGGGGTGTACTTTGTAGTTTTTGTCGAAGTCATGTCGATGGATTTGTTTACCACTGTTCTTCTTGTCAATTTGACCTTGACATCAAATGTGCCTTGCTCCCAGAATTCCTCAATGGAGATTTTCCAAAAGTTGATCATCACATTCATGTTGAACACCCACTCTCCTTCATCGAAAATCTTAGCCCCCGTGGAGTTAAACTAGCTTCTTCCCGCTATTGCAGTGTTTGCTTAGAAAATTTATCAGATGCTTCCTTTTACACTTGTCTTGTTTGTGAGCTTTTCCTTCATAAATCATGTTATGAGACTGAGCCACCATTGAACATCAATCACCCCTTCCATCAGAAGCACACTCTTACTCTTACTCTTCTTAAACGGGATAAGGTAGTACATTGTCAATTTTGTCGTAATTATCGTTATCCTGCAGGATTGTTTTACCATTGTTCTTCTTGTCATTTCCACCTTGACATCAAATGTGCTTTTCTCCCACAATTCCTCACTGGAAATTTCCCAAAACGTGATCA